GTGTTTCACCACTACTGGCTTGCTCACAAGAAGAGGGGAAGACTTTCCTGTCCTTGTGAGCAAGCCAGTAGTGGTGAAACATGTCATGGAAGGTTGGTGTCAGTTGGAACTTACATTTTTTTATACCTTTGATTGAAAGTAGAGATGGACTGTGGTAGCCAGCACCCTGGTTATCCCTGTTATATGAAAGGTACAAGTCTGAAGCAGAGCCAAGGATTTGAATCAATCTGCAATTCTTCAACACATTGACAATATTTTTGATAGAGAAGATAATCTGTAACAAAGATGAAACACCAGCATGTAGAGGTTCACTGGAAGTAGTTGCCAGGTTAACCAAAACTCAATCCCTTGAGTTGACATGTTTCAGTGCAATTATTACTATCTTCAGTAGTTATTCAATAGCACACAAAACCAATTCACAAATAAGTAAAACATACTAAAAACAATAAATAAACAAACAAAACAAAAAAAAATACCAAACGACATTAAAAAAAAGACTACATACATTGATGTCTCCACCCAAAACAACCTTCCTTGATGTGTTTCACCACTACTGGCTTGCTCACAAGAAGAGGGGAAGACTTTCCCTGTCCTTGTGAGCAAGCCAGTAGTGATGAAACATGTCATAGAAGGTTGGTGTCAGTTGGAACTTACATTTTTTTATACCTTTGATTGAAAGTAGAGATGGGCTGTGGTAGCCAGCACCCTGGTTATCCCTGTGATATGAAAGGTACAAGTCTGAAGCAGAGCCAAGGATTTGAATCAATCTGCAATTCTTCAACACACTGACAATATTTTTGATAGAGAAGATAATCTGTAACAAAGATGAAACACCAGCATGTAGAGGTTCACTTTAAGTAGTTGCCAGGTTAACCAAAACTCAATCCCTTGAGTTGACATGTTTCAGTGCAATTATCACTATCTTCAGTAGTTATTCAATAGCACACAAAACCAATTCACAAATAAGTAAAACATACTAAAAACAAGAAATAAAACAAGCAAAACAAAAAATACCAAACAACATAAAAAAACTAGCATAAATATATACAGCATTAGCACTAAAATCAAAAATTACATACAATTTATGTAAATATTAAATTGATAAAAAAAATCTAGTACAAACTAAAGTAGTTATATTTGATAATGAAATCCAGGGTGAAGCGGATTAGACAGCAGTATATACTTACAAGTAACTATAATTACATGTATAGTATAATGATTCTAACGTGTTATTATGATTAAACACAAATTAAATCAAGGAGCACAGGAAATTATATAAGATCTGTGTAGGTGTTTGCCTGATAATGGTATGCAATAAATGCAACTTTGTTCATAATTAAATATAGTTTGGATTAAATAAAATGTAAGTGCAAGGTACTATAATTATGTGCCGTGATCGGAATGTGTGAACTATGGTTACAATATACAGTATGCGAAACTCTATAGTCCATGTGAATGGTAAATAGATACCACTAGCACACACTCAGATCACCACACATAATGATAGTAACTTGGACATTCCACAATATATCCCCTTATGAACAATATTGCATTGATTCCAGTTGCATGTCATTATCAACTCAACACGTACCTGTTTTTGTGCCTTGGACATGGAAACAAAGCTAAGCCCCTCAACTATGCACAGAAACATAGGAGCTAGGGAAAATGACAACAGGAGCTCTGGACTGATAAGTCAACATTTGAAATAATTGGCTTTAGCAGGAAGCAATTCCTTTGCAAGGGGCTGGAGAGCATTCCAATGAGTGTCTGCATGCAACAGTGAAGCATGGTGGATGTTCCTTGCAAGTTTGGGGCTGCGTTTCTGCAAATGGAGTTGGAGTTTTGGTCAGGATCAATGGTGTCCTCAATGCTGAGAGATACAGACAGATACTTATCCATCATGCCATACCATAAAGAAGGCGTGTGAATGGCCCCAAATTTATTCTTGGCCTTGTGGCCAACTACGTAAATGGCCTTGTGGCCAATGATGTGAATGTCAATGATCCCAAACATACAGCCAATGTCATTAAGAATTACAGTATCTTAAGGGTAAAGAAGAACAAGGAGTCCTGGAAGTGATGATTTGGCCCCCACAGAGTCCTGATCTCAACATCATGGAGTCTGTCTGGGATTACGTAAAGAGACAGAAGGATATCAGGCAGGCTACATCCAAGGAAGATGTGTGGTTAGTTCTCCAAGATGTTTGGAACAACCTACCTGCTGAGTTCCTTCAAAAACTGTGTGCCAGTGTACCTAGAAGAATTGTGAAGTACTGAAGCCAAAGGGTAGTCACAGCAAATATTGATTTGATTTGCATTTCTCTTCTGTTCAGTTACTTTCCATTTTGTTAATTGTTAAAAACAAACTATTATCACTTCTATTTTTGAAAGCATTTCCAATTTACAGCATTTTTTCGCACCTTCCTAAAACATATATATATACTGTATAATTATGATTTAAATAGCCCACATATACATTTAATTTGTGTATAGTCATAATACCGCATTAACATCACTATATTAAACATGTAATTATAGTAATTTGCAGCTATTTGCTGCCATCTAATCCCCTTCATCCAGGATTTCATTATCAATATAGCTACACTGAACCACACCAGATTCTATTCACCCAATATTTATATGGATTATAGGTACTTTTTTATTTTAGGTTTAATGTTATATATATTTTTATGTTAATAGGCATTTTTGCTATTTAAATAGGCATTTTGATTTGTGTAATTTTTTTTAGTTTGTTTTACCTAGTTGTAAATGGCCTTGTGACCCAAAATGGATTTTTGGCGCATTTGATTTTAATCTTCTGTATAGAATTACGGACTTTTGAATCCATATACCTATACTGCCTTCCATGATAGGGTTAATCATCACGTGTAATTTTAGCTTCAGTTAGTATTTTGGTATATTTTTGCTATACCTGAATTTAACTTTGTCAGCCTACTATTGTATTACTCTTGAAGAAGGAGTGATGTTTGCTCCAAAGCGTATTGAGTTTTATTAAAGGTTTTTTATTTTTAGTCTCCTTACAGGATTGAGTTTTATGATTCATCTAGCCCTGTAGATACCATACTTATAGAAAGCTATTGCCGTGCAGTGTTAACTCAGCAACTTCTTCATGTGAACCTCTTCAGGTTGGCATTTCATCTCTGTTACAGTTGATACACTTAGAGTATTATCTTTTCTATCAGAAATATTGTCAACTTTTGACACTGATGCTTTTCCTATTGGCTACACACCAAGGTGCACAGTGTACGTCTATTCAAGTATTCCTGTGAATTTACTGGTATTCTTGGAGGTCCCCTGTTTCTTGTATTTTTTCAAAATTACTTGTTTTTGTTAGAAGCTTTGGAAGACCAATTTGGAGAAATTGTACCCTACTGTTGTACTACTTTGCTCCTCCTGTTCAGCGGGTTTTTTTTTTTATTGTTGTTGATATTTTGTTACTATCTTCCATTGAGAAGCCATGGATGCTTTGATTTAAGAACCCTTTGGATCAGTGTGACAATCATTTTTGACCTTGTCCTGTTTGGTAAAGGTGGGGAAAAAATATATGGCCTGGAAGAGTATATGGCACTGGTGAGGTATCTCCCACCTCCCCTCCCCTGGACACATTGGTTATTTGTTTTTTTTTTGTAGTTTCTGTCGTTCTGTATTTTTTTTTGCCTTCTTTGTAGTTGACTTTGTTCTTATTTCCACTTTGAGGTTGTGGTCTTGCTGTTCCCATGTCATAGCAGCGGGTAGGGGTCTGTGGAATTAAGGCAGTGCTGTCTTAAAATGGATGGGCACATCTTAGAAATGGGTGTCCCTTCCCAACATTAGGTTATGATGGTAACATTTTCTTTATTGGGTTGTATCTGAGAGTACGTAGGTGGTTAGTTGTTGTCCCCAAGGACAACTAACCACTTTTTGCCAGTGTTTACCAGGACAGAACACGAGAGAAAATCTAACATTTTACATTTGTCAATAGAATAGGATTGGAGGGATTTGATCCCCCCTCACTCCATATGGTTATAGATGCTATGAGATGGTTGCTGAAAAGACTGAACAATGGATGTTGCCTTTGCACTGTAATCCAAATAAAAGAGGTCCCACCAGCTCATTGATAGACTTGCATGTGGAGTAGTGCCAGTTTGGAGCCATCAAAGGACTCCAGAGGACACCAAAGCAGTAGTGAATGATGCCTGAAGAAGGAATTCTTTAATGCTCCGAAATGTTGCTTCATCCAATGGGGACACCTGCTCCAGTGATAACTGCTAAGAGGAGATTTCCCCTCATTTTTGGGAAAATTATCTCTAACCTTTTCTTGTCTCTCATAGTGGGGACACAGATAGCAATGAAACCCTTTCCTACTCCATCCACAACCTGATAAAATAACTTTCATCTGGAGTTCAATAAAGTTTAACCTAACTGACATTTCTGGCATGAACATCTGTCCTCTGTTTTTGTTTTTTAATAAAGTTGATTTGAGGAGGAGCAATGTTTAGCCTTACAAGTTTTGTATCAATTGCCTTTGTGGTAGAAGACGAGACCCAGAAAGGGGTCCAAACCTGCAGCTGAAGTTGCATGGCCAGGCATTTAGACATTGGAGTAATACCTTGGGAAAACATTGTATGGATAGATGCTGTTCGGTCATGACATTCATTATATCCATTACAGTGTTTATTTCCGGTATCCAGCCATTTTGACCCTTTTCTAAATAAAAAACATGCAGTCCAGACAGGGTCACTAATTTAAATAAGATGGGTGTATCAATGATATTTCTGCTGCTGTTTTGCAGCCAGCTGACATGTTCCTATGTAAATAGGCCTTGATTTATTCGGCACAGCTTTACGGCTATAAATACTAATATCCTTGCAAATATTTGAGCGCCTACAAGAGCTACAGAGCATGGTTATTGCTTAGATAAAAAAAGGATGAGCTTCCACAAAAAGAAGAGCTAAGACTGATTCTATCTAAGCCATTTTTATTTTCTTTGTCTTTACACAGACTCTGAAGGAGATCGGAGATCAAGAGAATAATATAGCAGCTCTCAAACAAGCCATTAAAGATAAAGAGGCACCTATGAAAGTGGCTGAGACGCGTCTGTATCAGCGCTCCTACAGGCCTAACGTGGAGCTGTGTCGGGACCCTGTGCAGTTCCGGTAAGTGGATTATTTAGCTGCCCTATTATTGATGGAGCCAACTGCACAGGCCTTCTGAGAAGTCAGGGGTTCCAAGTGCAGAGCTGGGATGGGATGTCTTAAAAACGGAATTGAGGCACAAAATAAATTTGTGTTTCTTTGTGTAACATCAACATTTGCAGGTCTTTGTGAAGAACATTGGACCATCCACCTTGCCACTAAACTAGCCTAAATTCTTATAACCCCACACATATCATCATAGACACTACTGGATCTCCATGAGAGTTAGGGTCCTTGGTGGGAATTAAACCCAGGACACCAGTGCAGTGAGGCAAACAATGCCATAACCATAACCATGATGCAACTGTATAGCTGTCTCTGCATAATTCTCCTGCTTATTTTTCCTCTTTCTGCCTTATCTCCCTTATCTTTCCCTCTCTCGGACCATTTACTGTTGTCATCCCTCACGTTCTGTTGGTTTTTTTTTACTAATCCTCATGTAGCACTACCCCCTCAGGAGTCGCTGAGTTTTTGGGACCCCCTAAAGCTCTTCACAGCCAGGCAACACGTATTTTCTTCCACACTTTGCACACTGGAGACAGTAAACAGTCCTTGAGCTTGGTTTTGTTGTTTTATTAGGGGTTAACAACTTGGATGGGGTCTAAGGGTATATGGGATGCCCAAGGAAACTGTAAATTTGAGGACCACTTAGAGCAACTATGTACAAAATGTTGACCAAAACAGTCTCTCCTCTAAGAGCATCCAAATCTCTTTGGTGTGTCTCTCCTCAGACTCCAGATGAATCCTCCACTTTGCTACCCTGTGGGTATTCCCAGGGCAAAAGGGCCCAAGAACTGTAGATTTAGAACAGTAGACTAGGTGGGTATTGCCCCTTACCGCCCTCTCCCCTTATCTGGCCCAGGGGGTGTAGAAGTACTCACTCTGTCTTTCCCAGTTAGTTTGGTGAGTTGGTGGCTGCATTCAGGCCTTAAGCTGGGCTGGCTTCTTCTCTGCTTCACAGACTGTCCTCCCAAGGAGACAATGGTTTCCTCCCACACCTCAAAGACATTCTTCTAAGTTAATTGGCTCCTGTCTCAATTGTCTCTAGTATGTGGTGTATGTATGAATGTGAGTTAGGGACCTTAGATTGTACACCCCTTGAGGGTTAGGGACTGATGTGAATGTACAATATATATGTAAAGCGCTGTGTAAATTGATTGATGGCGCTATATAAGTACTTGAAAGAAAAGAAAAAAGAAATCACAGGAGTTTTTATTGATTTATGAACTTATTTGATTTATTTGTCGAGGTTTTCTAATGGACTCAATTTATATGACACTTAATTTATGCACTATGTATAATTTTTAAGTTTATATATTCAGCGTCACATATTTTTGGAAAAGGTTGGACACATGGTTGGATGTTGTTCAGTGCAGCTGGATAATTTATGGTTTAATTGTATCACTAAAGCGCAGTGTAAGAGGTTTTATATTGGTTTCACAACTCATCAAGCATACCCTTCCCTGGAAGAATGAAGGGGCTTTTTGCCCTTTGTACGAGGTGGGTGTAGGCCTTATCTTTTCCAGCAACCATCTGTGCACTGTAATACAGGGATTGGCTGAGACAGTATAAATATTAATTCTGCCCATTTGCCTGTGTTCCAGAATCACCCAGAGATTTATACATTGCAGGAGGAGTAATCAAACCTGCAGCCTGTGAAACACAGAACAGACCTAAACAATCACCAGAACTAAATTTACCTAACAACAAAATGCAGCTCCACTGGATACAGTGGGCCAGAACTAAATTTACCTAATCCTACCACCTAACCAGGAGAGTGCTACATCTACATCCCTCCCAGGGGCGGACTGACCATTTGGAAACTCGGGTACTGCCCGAGGGCCCGGGGTCAGTAGGGGGCCCCATGAGACGCCCCTGGTACCTTTTTCATAGGCTTTTTTGAGTGGACAAGGACACAGGGGCCCCATGATCCCTTATTGCCTGGGGGCCCCATGAGTTGTCAGTCCGCCCTGATCCCTCCTTTCCTGTTTCTCCATCTTTCCTTCTCATTTTCTTTCTCACCTTCTCACCCTATTTCCCCCAGCCATCTCCTCCTTTTCTTTACATGTGTTCAAGTGCAAAACCCATCAAAAGACTGCATTTGAACTACTTTGCCTGCAACAAATAAACATCTCAATAGCAACCGCTGTGTCCAATGAAAAGCAATGCAAAGCAGATAAAACAAAGTCCACACTGCATATTTGAAACAAAAAGGGATCTGCTGACCTGATGCAAACTTCAAACCACAAGTCAAATGGAGGAAAACAAACCACATCTACAAAAAGGCTTCATTTGTGAGTTTGCAATTCTCTCTTATTTTATCTTGTTTCTGTGTTTAAAGTAGTATTAAACCCCTAGGTGTTTTAGATGAACTCATCGGCTGCAATAAAATAAACATTCCCAGTAAACTATTTGTTAAAATTTTTACAGTAGCACTTGCAGTTTAGAACTTTCAGTGCTGTTGGCGCCTGCTGTCTCAGCACTGCTTCCCTGAACTTCCAAACCCCACAGGAAAGAGTTAACAGTGGAAACTGCAGTCTTTAGCCAGTCTGTCAGCTTGAAGAAGGAAGGGGGAGGAGAAGGGAGGAGCAGAGGAGTGCATTGCCATCCTAAGCTATAGGGCTGTGCGTTTCTTTTGATGCACACAGTGTAAGGAGACACATCTCTAGACTCTGAATGCAAGGATGGCTCCATAGGATGCTGCAAAAGAAAGAAAGCCACCCTGAAAGAGGAAACATATATGGCAGTGGTCATGATACCAGGTTAGACTGGAAGACAAGCAAGGAGTACACGATAAAGAAACTGCATACTCAGTAAGTGATTAAATCAGCTGCTGAAAGTACTTAAAAACTGAGGGTTTAGTATCACTTTCAGCTGAAGAGTGCATTCCTGTTCTGAGTACTGAAATTTAATAGTTCCAACTATGGGGGGCGTGGCTTAATGGTGACACCTACATGTAGTACTACCCCCATAGGAGCCACCAAGTAGATTGCCCTGATCCTTTCCCCAATATTTTCCTCACAGCCACACTCCAATCCCTCTATGCTTTTTCTGATGCTTTAATGAGAACTTGGACAGCTAGTGGGTAATGGTAGGATACTCCAGTGACCCTTAGCAACTATTTAAGGACACTGAACTTCCTCTTGTAGAACTATGAGCCAAGCCTTTATACAGTAAAGAGAGGTCTGGTCTTTGTAGTAGCAACTTGAGAATTGTCTTCTTCTTTGGAAAGTCCAAGCAAAGTCTGTTCACTAAGAACCGAGTAGACTAAGCTCTTCAGGACACAGGACAAAATGTCCCCATTAAGCCATTGACAGGAGGGATGGCCTCAGCACACAGTCACTTGGATCTCTCTCTCTTTAGTCTGTACTCACAAATGTCCTTGAAATATTGGTTGCTTCCTTCCAATATCCTTGCGACACTTTTACCATGTGGTACCAGACTAGATCCTCTGAAGACAGTCCATCGGTCAGCTTTCAGCAAAGTGGGCCTCCAAGTAGCCCACCTGAGGCCTCCACCCCCTGCAGGCCAGATGACCTAGAGGGCTAGCAGCCCCCCAGGCTGTGAATTCCTTTTCAGGAAAAAGACCAGACTGCTCTCTGTCCCAGAGTATTTATACAAACTCCACTCACCATCTGGGCACCCCTCACCAGGGATTGGCCAGGGCTGTATGAATATTCAACTGCTGATTAGGCTCTTCCTGCCCACTGACATCCAGAACATTTTTGGACCAGCCAGGGGAAAGCAATCAATCCTGCAGCCACTGAAACATAGAACAGGCCAGAACAATCAACACAGCCACACTGATTACAGTGAAACAAAATGAAATCCGCCTAATCCTAGCACCTTTCATGGAGGACGCTACATACATATGATAACATTGTAGGTGAGCATCACATGCTTCAGTATCTCACTCCATCAAACGTACGACAGAGAACAAGCAAAGAGGCGGCAAATACCCTGAGAGGGGACATAGGAATAACCTCAAAAACTTGCCTGACATGTACTTTTGCTTGTGCCGGACACCATTAAACACAGAACATGCTTGAGGTTATCTGTCCTTTAACTAAATACAGCTGCCTGTCACTTTATAGTGTCTTCCAGAGACAGATTGTTAGTTTTCTTTAAATTATCATGTTGGAAGATTATGATCCCTTGGTAATGTGCTATCATTTCATCGTTCTTCGCTGAAGTGTTTAAAGATTGATGAGGTGGCTCTTAATAATATGTCTCAGTCAATTCAAATCAGAGCCCGCTTCCGAGACTCTGAGGAGCAATGAGTCGTGGCTTAGCCACACTACAGTCCACTTTCCTTTGATCACACAGGCAGGACAGAGGTGAAGGCTAATCAGACTGATAAGGGAACAAACTAGATTGGGGTGATACTTTACCACCGGAAATCAAAATGGCCCAAGGCCTGGCAATGCCATTAATGTAGAGCCTCTAGAATTGAAACCAGGTCAGAGGCCAGAACTTAAAGGAAATATGCAGTGCTTCAGCTTGTATTCTCCGCTTTCATTATTTATGATCAGGGGTGAAAAATAAAATTGATCGTTCTATTCACTGGCCCCTACATCATTACTGTGCCTTCTTGTGCTGTAAGGGCTTGGGAATCAAACCACAGTACTTTAGCGAGGGCCCAGTATCCAACACACCCAGAAGTACACTAATACCAAAAGTATTGGGACACCTGCCATTACATGCACATGAACTTTAATGGCATCCCTAGTCCGGGCCCTCTGTTTCCTCTTGTACCAAATTGTATTGTAACTGTCATGTCTGCCTTCATTTTGTAAAGCGCTGCGCAAACTGTTGGAGCTATCTAAATCCTGTATAATAAATAAAAATAAAAAATGAGGCTTAGTTATTTGCACACTCAGTAGCTGGGAGACTGCATCTGATATCAGCACAAGCTCAGGCAACTGAGAAGTATATTTCAACCTTTCTGTGGTCACCAGAGG